GTTTCCCCTGGGGCGCTCTTTTTCTTTTTTTTTTTTTTTTTTTTTTTTGCTCTGAAAGGGTTAGTATTTCCTTTCCTGCTTCCCTGCCTACTACATCCCTTAAAGATTCCCCCTGTCTAGAGGAAACCCCAATGCTTGATAAGGTGAGGAGAAGAGTAGAAAGGGTCTGCTGCCACTTAAGCTCCTTGCATTCCCTCTCCTTCCTCCCACAGGTTCCTGGCTACCAGGGCTGGGCTCCCACTGGAAATACTCCTCAGCACCACACATTTCCTTCTGCTCTGAGCAGACAGCCCTGGGCTTGCCTGGCAGGCCCCAAGAGTCCCCAGCCCCTGACTCACTGACTCCTTTAAATCCTTCGCATGTGTACCTTCGGTCTCTGGCTTTTGGTTCCTGATTTCGATGACCAGTGGCCTGATATTTCATTGTCTGCCGGTATCCATGTTATCTACCTACGCACGTTACATGTCCTTGGGAGTGGGCAGGTAGGATGATGAACAGTTCTGAGTTTGGGAAGTCAAGTTTTAAGAGTATCCTTTCCTAGAGTGTGGAAATCACAATCTTGTCTGGAGAAAGTTTATTCCTAGCTCCTTGCCGGAGATTGGTTCCTTCTTTCCTTAGTGCTTACTGTCATGCAAGGTGAGGAATGGACTTGGAGGAGAATAGCTGGCCTCATGGTGAGAATGTTAGGTGGAGTCAAGTGAAGAGGGAGGTGTGGCTTTCCCAGGCTGAGGGTCTGCATTTTTCCTTCTCCTTCAGCCCTGGCCCGCCACCGCTACATGAAGCAGGCTCAGGCCCTAGGTCCTCAGAGGATGGAAAAACCCCTGTTCTGGGGTGCAGACAGGAGCTCCCAGCTCTCATCTTATACAATGAACCCACTGCTGCAGCGAGGTAAACCTTGCCAGAGCCTTGGGCAGGGGAGGGCAGGGGAAAGGGTAGGAGTGTGGACTTCCCTGGGCCTCTGTGGGTGTTTTTCTAATTGAAGATGGGAAGGAGTGGAGTCAGCTAAATAATGTAATACTTTGGTGTCCTGAATCTGAGGAACTTGTTTTGGGCCAGCAGTTTGGCATGTTCTGTCCTTGTTTCCATTCAGATTTGTCCTTACCGTCCAGCCTCCCACAGATGCCAGTGACTCAAGCCCCAGCTCATCCTCCCATTGCCAATGGTGTCCTGGAATATTTGGAGAAAGAGCTGCGCAACCTCAACCCAGCGCAGCCTCTGCCTCCCGAACTCAAAGCCGGATCTGGCCACCTCTGCAGCATGCTGTCCTCCCTGGGCTCCGAGGTTGTGGAGCGCAGAATCATCCGCCTGCCTCCACTGATCAGAGACCAGCCGGCCTTGAGCAGGACCAGCAATGCATCACACCAGCAGTGGCTCACCCCAGTTCCCTCCAGACCCTGGGATCTGAGGGAGGGGAGAAGGCAGCCCTACTACTCCGATTTCTGCCAGGAGCTTCAGGACCGAGGGCCAAAACCCTGGGAGTCTGGAAGAAGAGAGCTAGACCACCTGTGGAGAGAACGGCATCGCTGCTCCAGGCGGCACAGATCACCCTCGGCCTGGTCAGATCCGGACAGCCTCAGTGATGGCCTCTCGTCCAGTGAGGGACACTGGCCGCCCAGCCGTCCCCATCCCAGGAACCACCATGAGGCGCGGCCCCACAGGCCGCACAGCCCTGGGGATCACTACCGGAGGATCAGGAGACCCCGGCCCCGCAGCTACTCCCCTCCCATGAACTCTGGCCTCAGTTCCTGGAGCTCTGATGAGAAGGAGACGCCCCCGCCACCCAGAGACCGGGGGTCCCAAAGAAGTCACCATGGCCGGTCTCATTCCCCAAGCTGGCCTGAGGAAAAGCCACCCAGCTACCGCTCACTGGATGTCACTGCAGGCAAGAATGGCAGGCAAAAAGGGAATGTGGAGAGGCGCTCGGTGAGCCTGGGGCGTCCTGCTGAGGGTCGGGTGTGGGCAGGAAGGATCCTCCAGGCAGGCCTGAGCACACAGACACAGGCCGCCTCATGGGCCCCCAAGGAGGGTGCCTCCTCTCTGCTTGACACAAGCTTCCTGGTAGGCTGAGTGAGCCACCTCCTTTTAAAGCTGAAGGGATCTAGGCAGTTCCGGGGCTTGGCTCACAAGGGGTCTTCTCAGACTCAGGTGGTCTCCAGTGCTCCTCACAGTCCTGCAGGCCATCAAGCAGGGGAGGCTGCCTCACAGATGAGGAACAATTAGAGCGCATTGCTCTGAACAATTAAACACCTTAAGAGTAGCAGAGCTGAGATTTGAACACAGGCCTTTATGCCTTGTGCTTTACCTCCTGTCACAGCTGCCTGGCTGTACTTAGTAAGCCTATTTCCATACCTCAAGTTAGAACAGGCAGCCAGCCTGGGGACACTTGAGTGAGTATGCAAAGCCCTGGTATATCTGAGGATGAGGCCCTCTCTGTACCCCCTTGGGAAGTATCATTGATAAATAAACAAATCTTGGTATCCAAAATATGGGTCCAAACTTCAGGAAGCTGTGAAAGGACATGGTACCAGTCTTAACTTACCAGCCTAAAAGGGGAGCACAGTGGAACCAAGCCTTTGGGGCCTCTGGATATAGACTTTTCCTCTGTTTTTAAACATATGACTTTTAAAAAATCATTTTCTAAGGGCCCATGGATTTAGCTCAGTGGTTCTGCTGCCTGCCTTGCAAGCACAAGGACTCAAGTTCAATCCCTGATACCAAAAAAAAAAAAATCATTTTCTAATGAATACACTGGAATGACAGTGTTAAAGGAACTTTTTATTTATTTATTTATTTTTAATTTTTATTGAATTTATTGGTACATTCTAGGTGTACAGTACAGTCACATTCATTATTGGGATCTTGTACCTTTACATGACAGGTCTTGGTTCTCATTTTTCCCCTTGTCCCTGCCTAAAGGAACTTTTTAAAGGTCTGCCACTATTACTCAAAAGTATTCGAGAACCATTGGGAACCAACTTACAAGCTACTGTACCCACAAAAATCTTTTTTTTTCTCTATTGGACTAAAATCATTTTGTGTTGAGATAGTGAGAGGAAACTGTAAGAGGGGCCTCAGGGAATAGCATCCCAGACCAGAAGGATCATATAAGAACACTTGCCTCTCACAGGCTTTGAAGGATATGCTTCTAAATTGGAAGTACATGTTCCGCTCTGATTTTTTCCTCTAAATTCTCACACACACAGTGTGTATAAAGGAGCAGCCCCCTGAGTGGAACCACAGGCAGCCCTTTCTAGAGCAGACCTGGGACAGAACAGACTTGTGAAGAAGATAGGGAGCACCAGCAGGCATTTCTGAAACAAACAGTAGTAATTCTGTCATATTCTCACAGGTGTCCCGTGAGAGGCAAAAATCTGCAGTCATGGAAATAGCTCCCCCTGCAAAGGGCACTGAGCTGTAGACACCTTACGTAGCATCTTATTAATTCCATGCAGGACTGTGATTCTTCTGATAATCACCTGCAGCTCTGAGACCCCTCTGACTATGCCAACAAAAACAAAAGGGAGTACTGTTTATATCATTATCCTCCTTTGCAGATGATCCAACTGTGTCTTCCATGTTACCATTATGAAAATTAAGCCCTGGGCAGGGGATTTAGCTTAGTGGCATGTACCTACCTTGCAAGCACAAGGTCCCAAGTTCAATCCCTGGTACCAAAAAAACAACAACAACAACAACAAAAAATTAAGCCCTGAGTGTCACTTTATATTTTTTTTGAATTATCACAAATGCTTTTTATTATACATGCATTTGTTTTTTGTAATACACTGTGCATCATAACCTTAATGGCTAAAATGTTATGAAGAGTACATACAAAAAAAAGATTTACAAATAAGCAGCAGATGATAGTGTAATGGATTTTTGTGTTTCTGCCACATTTCACTGCCCTTTTTATAACACAGCTCTGATTTTGTGAAGTGAAAAAAAATGAAGTCCTGAAAAATACCAGAATTAGTCAAAGCTGGGAGAACTACAACTATACTTACTTTACTCCTATAGTGACTAAACTTGTGTCTTCATTTTGGCAGGAAAAAGAGTGATTTTAAAAAGTTTTTGGCCCCAGATTTAAACCTTATTTTTTCCTAAGTTAAAATGTTCTAATATTTTTTAAGTTAAATTACATAGCTTTTTGTAGGAGAAGGGTGGGCGGAACATCAGGTTTATGTCAGATACTGAGGCAAGTTACTTCCAAATCCTGTTTCATGAAATCCTCACAATAAACACGTAGGACTTAGAGAGGCTCAGAACCACACAGCCAATAAAGAGTGAAAGCCTAAGTTTTAATACAGGTTTCTGACTCTTACACCTGTCTTCATTGCAATAACTCAGGCTGCTTCCTTCAAAAGGGAGAAAAGTATCACTGGGACCAATGGTATTTTCTAATGATTTATTTCTTCCTAATTTCCTAAAAGTAGCACAGCTTCTTTTATCTTCAACATGAACACAATTGTACCAAAAGTGGACCAAATTTTCAGTTGTAACGTCACTCCTGAAACACAAAGACTGTCTAAGAGCATTTGAACAATCTCCATTGTCTCAGTTTGTCTCCCAGAGGGCTTCGGCACCTTATCACAACCTTTCACTCGTATTCTGACAGTGACTAGAGGCCCAGGCCCAAGGTTTGACTTGGCAGATTGGTTAATTTGAAAGACGGTGCTTTATTTATTATTGACTTTTGAATGATTTCAATGGAGCAAAAGTCTCCCAGCAAAAGCCTTTCTCTGCCCTCTCCCCATGGGGCTGTGTGCTTTTCACACAGGTGACCTTTCCAGCCTCAGAAGTCATCAGAGCTTGCCAAGTTCTGACATTGTAATATAACTGAGCCACTAGATGGTGATCTTTGATTGGTTATCACTTGAAGTTCTGTTTATTCCTTGAGTTAATAAGATGTGCCACTATTTTCTTATAAATGAGCCTCTATCAGTGACAGGTTTACCATGGTTTCTTATAAAATATTTATAAAACAATACTTAGGTATTTAGAGGAATGGGAATTAAACATAATATGTTTTAACTCATAGAGAGACCTCTTTCAAGAGTAATGTTTAACAAAGATACAAACAAGAGCTTTAGGGTGCATGATCTCATGGAAGCTTGAAATAGGGTGAAACCATTCTCTGTATGGTGCTCAGGAGAAAATGGAAGTTGTGTTGGGGGGTCTCCCGCCAAACTGCAGACTCTACCTGCTTCACTTCAGGTCTGGGGCCCTTTTCACTCAACCCAAACTGCAGCCTGAGAAATACAGGAAACAGAAACTTCAGGCTTTTAACTCCAGTGGTCCCTGTGTTCCTGGCCTCCTTCAAACTGATAATCTTTCTTTCCAATCTTGCCCTGATTAAGAGGTTTCCCAAGGCATTCCCGGCTTCTTCCAAACATGGTCCACACAAGGAAAACCACTTCTTTCTTTTCACTCCAGGCTTTGCTCAAACTTTCTATAGAGAATCCCAGCTTTTTCCTGTTTTGAATTTTTTATTTAATTAAAAAATGCTATTAGGATTTTTCATCTCATACTTTTAACACTCCTTGTTCATATCTAGATCTTCCTTTAGTGTGCTCTGGGCAGTTTCTTTTAATCCCATTTCACACTTTTCTTCTGTGTCAGAGGAAACATGCATCACAGAGTATTTTGATAGAAGATATGCCCCTAAAACTCACTTTTTGGATAAATTGGAAATGTTTTTATAAATAAAAACATGAATATACATGCCTTTAAAACAGTATATTATAGGACAGATACCTTATCTTCTTCCTGTTTTAAATAAGATGAGGATGGGCCTGGGGATTTAGCTCAGCAGTTTGGTGGCCTGCCTTGCAAGCACAAAGACCCAAGTTCAATCCCAAAAAAATGAGGATGGTCACATTTATGGACCAAAAGTATAGATTTTTTTTAAATTTTTATTTTTATTAGTACATGTTTGCAGCATATAATACATTAATTAGGGGAGCTGATACATGTACATAATACATCCTAACTCTTTTTACATCTCTTTCCCCTCCCATTCATCTTGGTTCCCATCTCACTTGCAAAAATCTATCTCCTTATTCCCTATAGTTTATTTTAATTTGCTTTTAAATTATTGATGCATTAGGTTATAACATGATCACTTAAAATACATAGTAAGATATGTAAATTTGAGAAATGTAAACCATAGCTTTTACTTTACTGAAGAAGTAGGAAAAGACCAAAGGCCAATAACTTTTGAAGAAAAGCCACTGAGTTTGTTCAGGAACAGGTAGTAATCGTTGCTAAACAACTTCAGAGAAATACTGAGATACGAAGCCAAATGTTTTAGAAAAAGGCTACAAAGAAATGGTTCAGGAGAACATAAATAGGAAAAGGAGAGTCATCTTTGCAAGTGAATGGTAGGGAGATGGACTGATACATGGGGCAGGGAACCTTTTTACGGTCTCTAAGGACAAGAAAATGTTTTAAAAACAGAGCAAGAGGCAGAGTGATTAAGACTAAGAAGGTTTCAGAAATGAAAGCTGTTTGAGGGATGCTATAGAGGGAGAAAACTAAGCCTCGGTGATGAGACTGGTTCCAAAAAGAGTTGGCATATTTTCAGGCTCAGATCTGCTATCCCAGCATCCTCCACTCATGTAGGGTTTGCACCAGTGTGCTTTGTGTACTGTATGCATAGACAGTAGATTGTGACTGACTGGATTTTTTTGTGTCCTGTTTCTCAGGAGAGAGAGAGCTCCCATAGTGGAAAGAGTGTGATCATTTAGTCGCCAGGCACAGCACTACTTCTGTGGCTATTTCTCATCTCCTGCGTGTCCCCAGCACCATCTAGATTTCCATGTGATCTGAGAGGGCTACTGCAAGCCTGCCTAAGAATGCTGGCTTCAATTCTGAGGATCGAATAGAAGAATTTTTAAAGCAAGATCAAAGAATTAGTGACTAGCCTTAGCCTTGGTTCAACCTCTTTGGCTATATAGTCCCTGATGTGTAATGGAGCCTAACTGGGATGTGATCCCTCAGGAACTTAGCAGCCTGAGTCTCCAAGTAGGTCACAGTGGTTATGGTCATGGCTACTCGCAAAACGAGAACTCAGGAATTGTGTTGTTCAGCTTTCTGTTGCTGGAGCAAATATCTTGGGTAAGTAACTAGAGAAGAAGACTTCTTTTGGCTCACGGTTTCCGAGTTTTCAGTCCATGGTCAACTGGCTCCAAGACAGAAACATCATGGTGAAAGAGGACAGCAGAGCAAAGCTGCCTAACTCATGGCAAGCAGCAAGCAGAATGAGAGAAGAGAGCCACAGAGGAAGGAGGCTGGACACCAGAATGTACCCTTCTAGGTTCTGTCTCCAGATACCTACTTCCTCTGACCTGGCCTCCTCTCCTCATAGCAGATCAGTCATGAACTCATCAGTCGGTTAGCCTAATAAGGTTAGAGGCCCTCATCACCTTCCACAAGCTCCGCCTCTGAACACACGAGCCTTTTGGGGGGCATTCTTGATCTAAACCATAGCAGGGATCTTTAAGAAGTCAAGCATATTTCAGAAACAGGAAACCTAATAAGTATTAGGGAAACTCCCATGGGAACTTGTCTGCCTCCATTGAGTATCCTGGGGATCTTTATGTGTTTGGAGTCATTGCTCCCATTCTCAATCCTGAGACTCTTGAGTTCCCAGTCTGAGATGGCACTGAAATTGTACATTTTTGTGCCCTTTTACAGGCTGTTTTTTGTAAGGGGAGCAGGGAAGCATTTTTGCACCAATCTTATTCTTGTATCTTGTTTTCTTCTTGCTCATTTTCCCCTACATCTAATTTATATTTTCTTATATATTATGAAGCCATTAGGATCACTTTATTTGCTTCTTGGGACTGGCACAGTGTAAATAAATAAGAAAAAAATAAATGTACTGGGCTGGGGAGACTGCCCCAAATAAATACCTGATTTTCTACTTTGGTGCACTTGACTGGGTTAAACCTTCTTCCCCTAAAGTTCAGAGAAGAGCCAGGCCAACCTAGGTAGTTCTAGAACTTCCATCCTCCTGGCCTTTCAGGTTTGAAATTTCCCAAGCAAAAGCATTCAGTGAGGTGTTGCTACTCAGAGTCCCAGGTGAAAGGGCTGTGCCTTCCCTAGCGTGGAACATAAAGCTCTTCCCATTTTCTATCCTATGCTTCATGCAGAGACCTTCTCTGAGCAGACTGAAAGGAGATCGACCTAGCAGAGGTGCAGCTGTTGTGTGTGTGTGCCTGAGAATCCATATGTATAAGGTCTTAAGCTTGCTTAATTTAGAGCCTGTTGTATCAACATACTCCCCCCACCCCCGGTTTCATAACTACATGTGGAGAAATAAAGGTTTCTTTGGAATTTTAAATATCCACATGTAACTGAGCTTTAATTAGCAAAATGGAGGGGAAGAAATTTTAATAGATAATGTCATAGAATCTAATAGGCAGGTAAGGGACTTCTCGTCTAGAAAAAATAGAAGAGTCCCATTTTTCCCTGTTCTTTTCTATTATGTACAACTTTATAAATCTTAGAAATGGCACAAGAAAAAACCAAAAACATTCTGAAGAGTGTTAAGAATAAGCTGGCTTGAGAGTTTAGGACTAAAAGAACAGCACAGAGGCAGGGAAACTCACACACACACACACACACACACACACACACACACACACACACAAGTCAATTGAAGATGGCCAGGTAGCTCAACCTGGATCTTATTGAGTCATTCTGGCAACCTCATCTGAGGGGCCAGTTGTGAACCCTACCAAATATAAGCACCTAGGGGAAGACCTCTCCTCTTCTGGGCCAGCAGTTCCTCTTCTGAGGACAGATACTAAGCTGAGCAAGAGGAACCAGTCAAGAGAGGCCAGAATAAAGAAGGTGGCTCATTTGGGGAGGCTTCAGACTGACTTGGACTCTTGTCTCCCTACCCAAAGTCAACATTGCTAACTGGTGGAATCAGGAAAATGGACAGACTGTCACAGCAGGCAGCTCTGCAGCTAGAAGTGTGTTCATCAAAGCCATATTAAGGAACCAAGACTCTATTCCTTGGACCACAGAAACCTGAGCAACTGGGCAGGGGGGCGGTAGCAGGAGGATTCCCCCTTCAGCAAAAGATACAACTACCCAGACAGAAGAAATTCCTCCCGGGCCGGGGATTTAGCTCAGCGGTTCGGTGGCCTGCCTTGCAAGGGCAAGGACCCGAGTTCAATCCCCGGTACAAAAAAAAAA